CCCCCCTTTCGACCGCCACTGGGAGGGGGACAACATTTTAATTTATCATTTTCAATTTTCATTAAATTTTTAAATTCTATCTAAATAAATAAATAGATTCTGATCACAGTAAACAATTTCCCAAGATTTTCGATATTTTCCGGGGGGGGGGGGCATGTCCCAACATTGCCCCCTATATGGTCGCCTTTGTTATAGCTAATGACTGTCCACCCTCAAAATCGTTATTTGTATTCGTATAAAACGATTGTGTATCATCGAATTAAAATCTAACACCTACCCCTCTATTACTACTTACTAGTAGAGTAAGTTACTTTTAAAAAGTAATTAAGTTTCTGCGCACTTTATTCAGTGATATATGTAATAAATATAATAAAGCTATTTTACTCATTACCCACTCAAGTAAAATGACATTACTTTTCAAGTAGAAAAGTAATTATGTTACTTTTACGTTACAAAAAAAACTGGTATTTTTTTATTTCTTAGCAATTGATTGTAACTCTACAAGCAACATAGCGAAATACACTGTACTATATATATATAACTTAAAAAAATTCTAAAAAAAATGACGCATAAAAATATTTAATTTAACGATACAATAATATGGTTGTCGACTGATGGATTGCTAAGAAATTGGTAAATTGGGTCCCAAATTACCTTAATTCTTTAAATTGCGTCCCGGAAAAAACGTTAGTAGGTACTTTCATTCCATTTGTTTAATATATAATAATCTTTATTAGAAGTTAAATTTTATATTTATGGAATAAATCAAGATATATTTATAATATAATGTTCTAAATAAATAAATTAAAAATATTATGTCCTTGGCGTAAACTGTAAATTGCATAAATTAAAAATAAATTTAATTTCCATTATAATAAAAATAAAAATAAATAATATAAAAATATATGTTTTTTATAATATTATGCTCTTATTAAAAACTTAAATGATAAGGATTTAACAAACTCAAATCGGGTTATCGTATTAATACATAGTTTATTTTGACGGGATCCAAGTTACCTATTACCTTTTTGTGTCCATAGCTCAACTTACCGCTTTCAAAATGTACACAAATTATTGGGCGCCCAGGAATTGGGCCACATTTTAACTACCTGTTTCGTATAAAATATTTGTTTACATTTTACTACCCGGCCACAAATTAAATCTATATTTTTAAAGTGTACCCGGAGATTGGGCCATAAAAGTATAGCACACAAATATACTATTAATAATATTAAGTTTGTTAATCAACTAAACGATCACAATTTACAATGTTTCATAATCTGTGCACACTACGCGTATGACTATTTAAATCCATTTCATTTGACAATTGATAATTCTATATCATAAGAGATTGGATAATTTATTACCTTTTGATAAATCATACGCAGTCGCTTCGAGTAAAGTTTCGTGTGCGTTGCAGTGTATTATATTAAATATTATTTTATTACAATTTAAAATGTAATAGTGGCCTAATTACCAGGTCTACCTGTTATAAATATAAAGTTTTAGTGGCCCAATTACCGGGCCTGCCTGTAATAAATATAACATTTTAGTGGCCTAATTACCGTATACCTTTGGAAAAATAGGTGAATTGTGGCCCAATTCCCGAGCGCCCAAATTATTGTGGAAACAATTTACGTAGCCTCAATTGATTACATGCCAACCTTTTTTTTATTTGTAATTGTTTACTGCAGGGATACTGTTTATTGTATTTCACTGTAACTAAATGAAAAAACAAATATATATTTATTGACATTATTTTTCCACAGTTACTTTGTATTTATTGTTTACATTTTTATATTATACAAGCTGTCCTGTCACGGCGTTGCCCGTGTAGTAATAGCTATATAAAAAAAACCCCTTTACCCCCTTAGAGGTCTAATTTTGAAAAATCTTTTACAAAATGATTCTAATGATTCTATACACATATTATTATTAAAAAATGAATCCATAGTTATAATTATAATTTGTTTAGTTAACACGTTTATCGCATATCGATAAATAAAGTATTATCATTTTTCGATAACGCAATTTGTATAATTGAGCTATTCGGTGCAAGTCTTGTCTTAATAAAAATATTATGTTAGTTGGTAGTTTAAAATGTCGGCAAGTATTTCTACGTCATAAATATAGCGGTTGTAGCCATTGCTACGTACGATCGTCAGTAGACAAATTAACCGTCGTAGTTTCGTGTCGAAACAAAGATCTATTATATCAATATTATATCTTTTCCAGCTTATCCTAGACTCTATATGAGGTTCGCATGTGATAATGTGAACAGTATATTATCAAGTAGGCTATCAATATGCACTCTGCAGTGGATTGCGTACCCCGCTAGATGCACACTCTATATTAATAATATGTTTAGTTTTAATTTTATTAGCTATTTTGAATATATACATGCCGGTGAGCGGCCGTAACTCAGTCGACAGCCACATTTTAACGATTAATTATGTCATATGGACAATTTTATAAGCTAAAGCTTGCTGTAGCTTTTTCAACTAAAAAAAACATTCCAGAACTCAAAAAATAAATCATCAAAACAATTTTTAAAAAAGGGTTTTTCCAAAATTTTTTTTCTTAAAAACCTTCTCCTGGGGATTTCGAACAATTAAAAAAAATTGAGCCAAATTGGCCCAGTCGTCAATAAATTAATTGTTATTCATTTTTGACTCCATTTATATAGAATAGCTTTAAAGTTTAAACTCATTAAGTCATAATCCTTTAATATAAAAAAATTCTTGAGGTTTTATTTATAAACATAATTTTTATACAATTTAATAACTTGTGCCATATTTTTATCACATTTTGAATTCTTAAAAGCAGTACCATCTTAAAATGCTGTAATAATATAATAATTATTTATTTATTACGGATAGTTTCCAAATATAAATTTATATTTTGTTAATACATACACAATACAGCAAATCAGTTAATAATGTTATATAATAATACAAATTAATAGTTCCTAGCATAAATAAGTGAAAGAAATGTAATAGTTAAGAGAATAATATGTATAATATATGACTAATGACTCTAATATAATTTTACAAATCAATTGTTGGGACTTAGGGTTATATCGATATTCAAGGACTACACTTTATGGTTAGTGCTAAACGTAATATAATTTATATTTCCAAACACAAAATCTTATGACAAAGCAAAATCTTTGATAGCACTATCGACTTATAAACATCAAGGAATACAAAAAACATCTCAGGGATAGAATTTGTTAGAATACCAGAAGTCAATGAATATAAAATACCATAACTATCATTAGACCAATTCATTTAAGGTAACATGAAGTTATCACAAAAAATAAAAATTTGAGGTTGAATCTCAGTTGTGCTTGAATAAGTATTGTATTATTGAATCAGAGAACTAGGAGGTATAGTACAGTGTCCCGTGAGAAGATACCCATTATAGCCATAGAGGATGACTAGCCGCCCGAACAAAAACCGCGGTTATTCCGTTTTACCTACAAATTAAAAAAGTTATTAAAAATCATGAAATTAATGAAAATAAAATGTTTAAAGTGTAAAACTTTCAGGAAAATAAACTCTAAAAAATGAAAATCTTTAATTGTTTTAAAAATAAAAAATAAAATATTTTTTTTAAACTTTTTTAATAAAAAAATGAATTAAGTTAAACAAAAAAATAAATGTAGTCGTTGCCTCTGTGAGTATAATAACAAAATTCAGATTTATTATACATTTATTATCTCAGGAAATATCACAATGTTTAAATCCTCATTGGACACTCTGTATACCACCAACTATAACCTGGTCAATGTTTGGTTAATGTTTGTACAATTTGTTCAATATATTTTAGATTTTAACAGGAATAGAGAAAGGAAATCTTTATATTATGCAGCATAAAGACATCACTATCCCGAGGCGTTCTCAAGTTTTTTTTATTTTGGAGGGGGGATATGAAAATGTATTAAAAGGGGGCAGCGGGAGCTAAGATTTTTCTTATATAAAAACAACATTTACATGAATTGAATTACAAAATAATATTACATTTTTAATTCAAAATTCACAAAATTAAAATTTTAATAATAATACTATTATGTAACATTAACTCTTTAACACTTAACAATGATCACTCCATACATTTTTCACTCAAAACTATTGATAAAAAAACAAGGAAAATGTGTTATCACCTGTACCTATGTTGTGGTATCGTGGTATTGCTTTTAACAATAATATAATATGAACTTGGCTAATTTCAAAAACAGATAAAAATATTAATAAAGATAAAGATATTATTCTGCGATCACGGTTGTAGATATCTACAACAGTGTCTTAAACCTGTAATTTCATACCCATCGTATATTTGTTTAGAAAATGACAACAAGTTAAAAAATATTGATTATACTTATTTAATTTGTTTGGTTATTTGATTATCATTAAATAGGTATCAGTTCAACCTTGAAAATCCATCTAACCTAAATACAAAAATATTTGGCCATGGGGAGGGGGGATCATCACCCGTATTCCACCAGTGATAACCCTTATTTCACTACCTCTCAAGAACAACTATCCTTTAAATTTTTCTATCATATCTATAAACATTATAAGTATCTAAGTCTAATTTATTTAGATTTAAAAATATCAGCAGTAGACCAAGTTTCTATTGATTCTATAAATACAAAAATTAAAACAGGCATTGTTTCATTTAAATCTCAGCAATGTAAATTGTAAATAGATAGAAACATCAGGATACCAGTAATTCAATTAATGGAATAGTGTATAATGAAATAATACTGCAATAAAATAATTTATTTTGAAATTACGAACCACACATAATTTGTTTATTACCTTTATTACATAAAATATAAGTCCTGTAGGTTAATAGGTTATAATAAAATTATTTAGGAACTCGGCAACTAACAATAACAATATACTTCACAATAACAATATACATTATCAATAAACTTATTGATAAAGAACCATATTGGATATTATTTGTTGAATTTGATTTCAATTTTTGTTTAGGTTTGTGTGCGTTGTTTAAGAATTTGCTTGGTGCATACTAAATATCACGAAACTAAATTTGAAGCCAAAGAAGGTATTGTGGAAGATTTCTTTTTTAATTATACTTTACATTCAGAGAAAGCTTACAGTTATAAGATTAAAGATACACCATTAGGAAACATTAAAAAACCAATGGAAAATGAAAATATATTGCTCCAAAAACAAATCTTACAATCATCAAAAATTATTCCAAGCCCCAGAACATATATTAACCACAATTGTAATCATTCTTGTGTAGAATGGACTGGCTATGAAGAAAATAAAACAAAAAAAATTAGTATGTTAGGGGTACCGATTCATTTCGGTTTTAATAGACATACAACAATAAGAGGTCGTATACGAAATATTACATACTATGAGGCTCCTTGTGGTGTGTCTATAAGAAATATCAGTGAAATGATGAGTTATCTTACAACCACAGAATGTAGTTTGACAATCGATCAATTCGATTTCAATAGCTGTGTGAATCCATTAGCCCAATTTAATGTTTCAAGGCCCACTATGTTTTTGGATGATTTATCTAAAGGTTTAGAATTCAGACCAATAACATGTGTGAATAGTATAAACGATGAACTGCCACCAAAAATGAATTATATGATTAGTAGACAAGCAACAGCCGGAGTCAACATAAATGTAGAAACTAATTTCTTATGTGGATGTGATTGCACAGACAACTGTGAAGACAAATCAAAATGTGCTTGTTGGCAAAGTACAATAAATGGACAAAGTAATATACCAGACCTTAAAAAAAATGCAGATGCAGGTTATAAATATCGACGATTATATGAAGATGTGCAAACTGGTATTTATGAGTGTAATAAGACTTGCAAATGTCAAAGTTCTTGTTTAAATCGTGTTGTGCAACAGCCCATGCCTCATAACTTACAATTGTTTAAGACGGAGAAAAAGGGCTGGGGCGTACGTTGCTTAAATGATATACCAAAAGGGACTTTTATATGTTGTTATATCGGAAACATACTAACTGAGACTAATGCCACAGAACAAGGTAAAAAATACGGTGACGAATACTTAGCAGATTTAGATTTTATTGAAGTAGTCGAGAAATGCAAAGACGATTATGAAGAAAATGCTTTTTCAAGGAAACTAAACACCAAACATAAAAAACTGTCAAAAAAAACTATGAATCTATTAAATAAACATATCACGAAAAAATCATCGAACGGTCATATTCAAAGAGTATTTAAAGGTAACACATTTTTCTTTAGAAACAATTTACAATATACTAGATGGTCCTGTACGGCGGTTTCCGTGACAAATTAAATGCCCCTGGATTTACACCTATCCTTAAACTCTATTAAATACGAACTTCACATGTTTTTAACATAGCGATTTGGTTGGTTTTGATACAGTTCTAAAAAATTTGGCTTCGAGGTGTTCAGTCTCGAGAATATGTTATATTAGTAATATATAATGTGTTATATTTTACCTTAGTACAAAGTTTCAAAACCACGAGTGCGATAGACTTGTTGGCTGTGGATTCCTTAAACACATACATAAATATTGCCTTTTATTATCAATCTTTAATATTAATTGGTATATTGTTCTCCATATCTTCCAAACCCAATGTTATAGACCTTTTAGCTTGGGTGGCAGTATTGTGCTAAACAGTTCCCATCCGTTCCCGGTTTCAAAAGGAGGGGAAAAAAAGACCTTTTAGCTTAAATAGTCAGATAAAAAGAAAAAACATTGAAGGACACTTAGTTTCATTTTTATATTAATATTATAGTTACGTCTACTAATTTTGACACATGCCCACAGAATAAGAATTGAGTGGAAAATAAATTAGAATATTTGAATTCTAAGATTGGTACCTACCTGAAGGGCAGCGCTGGGTAATTAATTTTTTAGCGGTTCCGAATGATTTGGAAAAAAATGTTGAGATATGTAAGCCCTTCTATATTTTTTTGTTTAGAAAGTTATTTTAGGTCTCCACTGAGACAAATAATTTTTAAAAACATTACGCATTTAAGTAAAATATTTATTTAATATCTATTTATTTCCCTCCGCAGTATGGGTGAGCGGACAGCAGGCTACCTAACCTTGCCGACTCACGCTTTAAGGGATTTTTAGGAATAACTTTGCTTAAGTTCAGAAAAATCTGCTAAGGAATTTTTCCTGTTAGCTGGGACAAACTAAGAACTGCTTACTATTTTAAATAATAGTTTAAATATATCATAATTATAACCAAATTATAAATTTAATATTCAAAACTTAAATTTGTTTTTAAAGATAAAAATTTGGCGGTGAACAATACATTTCCAATGCAATCCAGAAACCTCAGACACAAGAAATTTTCCTCAAATAGGCACTACTATAAACCTCGAAAATCAGTACGCTGCTACTATGGTAAGGGCGATGGTGTGTATACAATAAATGCAAAATGTAGTGGCAACATTGGACGATATTTCAATCACTCGTGCACACCAAATTTATTTGTACAAAATGTGTTTGTGGACACACACGATTTACGTTTTCCGTGGGTATCGTTTTTTTCGGAACATTACATACCAGCTGGAACTGAACTTACGTGGGATTACGGTTACGAGGTAGGAAGCATTACAGGTAAAGTGATGACTTGTTATTGTGATTCAGCTAAATGTAAACGTAGACTTCTCTGAATGTATAAGCGTTGTAAAAAAAAAAGTTGAAAAACAGTTGTGAATTAAGGTAAAATTATTGTATTATGAATACGCTATAGACTATACAATAATTTTAAAAAAAAAATAGTCAACTCCTTTGCACAATTTATGTATTTTTTTACTTTCTGATTCGTACATATGATGATCGCATAAAACAAGATGTGAGTTGGTCTTTATATTTTAACAGTATTATGAAATTTAAATATCTATACATCTAAATCTACTGCAATTTACAAAATTGTAAATGTTACTGTTAGTTTGTGAATATTGTTTAGAAATTAATATTGTATATAATTAAATATGTTTATAGATTATAAGTTTTAAACGTGTATTTTAATTGAATTTTGTTTTAACAATAACTTTTTTGGTACTACGAAAATCCCAATTGTATCATATTATATTAGAGAAATTGTGTGTAATTAAAATAAATGAATAAATATAACATAATTAAATTCTTACTTTATTAATACATTTAACCTTTTAATTTTTAAATCGTTTAACATAGTATTAAACACAATCCAATCCTTAATGAAGTCTTTATATAATTAATTTATCATAAAAAAAAATGAAGTCTACAAATAAAACTTATTAATACAACTTTGATAGGTTAATAGACCTAAGAACTATGAGTTAGGACTTTCAACTCAATTTAAATCTCAACTTTTTACTAACCGAGACAAATACCACAGAACGAGACAAAATATTTTAGGTATATTGAGTATAACCTATATGTAATTTATTATTGTGATAGTAAAATTATCGACAGTTTATTAAATATTCCAAGATGGATAGATCAATATCGGTACGAGCGACTGTGTAATGTGTATATCGTGTAACTGTAAATGCCGAAAGGAGTGGTTGGATTGCGACCGAAGAATTCTTTACCGTGTACATTCCGCGTACTGTCACCATGTACGATAAAATAAATGGCGATCCCTAAGGTGGGGGCGAAAGGGCATTCAGTGTTTCAAAAAAAAAAAATACATTTGTATTGAATAAATATTATACAAATATATACCCATCTAATACCTAATATATAACACTATACAATTAATATTAAGATACAGCACATTTTATCCAATATTCAGGAAGGTATGTACATAATATAAAAAATATAATATTAGAGGTACACACATGACAGATACTTAACACAATAACACATATAACTAGCTATTATAGCTGGAAGTATAGGTATCTTTTATAACTTTATAAGAATGTTTTAGACATGAAACGTGTTCATACACTAAACATACATTGCATAAAATTGTTTCTTATATATGGTATTATAATAGTACCACACTACTATTCATAGATTCTTTACCTACTATAGTCAAAGGTATAATAAAACTCATATATTAAAGTAGTAAATATCTATTATTACATTTGCCGTGATTAGGAAAAATATAAAAAATGAAAGAATAAAAAGGGTGCCCAACAAGTTAAATTAGGTATCAAAACCATGATCAACTATTTAATCATAAAAAATAACAAGGTTATGCATTTATGCTATAACAATATATATCGATTTGACCATCATCTATAGGCTGTACCGAGTAACACAAAATAAAATAAATGTATACAAGCAACAGTCTGAACAGTCGGGTACTCGGGTAATGCTCTAATTATTTAACTTAGGTCCTCGTACTGATTAAATTGTTCTTACGTATTAGTTAGGTATAGAACTTGGTATATACTGCTATAGAGCATGGTACTGGGAGGAGGGTGGGTGCGCGATTTGTTTCAAAACCGGCAATATTGCTGACATACCTATCTAATTTTTCATGTAAGGTACTTAAGTATGGTATATATTGTGTATTTGTGTGATTCAGAATGTCATCAAAGTCTAATAAATTGTTCAATTGTAAGTATTCCACTATTTCAATATTCCACGTTACAAATTAAGTAAGTTTTTAAAATATTGTAAACAAATTATAGAAATTGTTGTTGGCATTTATTGTATTGTTTATAATTGCACGTAGGTATACTATACACGAAATGAAATCGTCAAATGTTTAGTAGGTATATTTTATGTATCGGTTTCCATTTTGTCCTAGATAAATGTACCTGTACAAAAACTAATTAAAGTATAAAATTCATTATGATTCCTGAATGTTATCGATTATTGCTTTGGCGATGTAGATATGCCTAATGTAAAACCTAACGTTTAAAAATACGGCTGTATAATCGATTTCCACCAATCAATATGATATCATAGAAGGTATGTGTAATATGCACAGAATAAATACAGTAAATATGATATCGTATAAGTACCGTATGCGACATCTTCGTCGACTATTCGTGAATAAATGCTTACAATTATTGGCGACAGTTGTGTATGGCAACTGTTGCGCTCATAGGTGGAGGCTGCTCGTCGACCGACGTTCCAGACACGAGCTCGTAGTACCGTTTAGGCACTTAACTACTTCCTGAATAACTCAATAAAAATTTTGAATTTATCAAGACTTTCTCAGACAACCACTGAACGGATGCCGGTTAACAAAATATTGACGGACGACTGATGCTATAGCCGGTAATCTAAATATGAAATAGCTGTTACTTCCGTTATGCGGTAACCGGAGCACCTTATATAAAGGCTCGACCAACATCCGTAGAGCATGAACAAAAGCGTCGAGGTCAACCGCGATCACCAAGACGGTTCCTTCAGTGCGAGGCCGGTTCATTCCACATGGAATCGGCCGACCATTGCGAATATCCTTAATGTGGATACATCCGACGCATCATTTTTGATAGCTGGGACCGCTACACGCGGTCTCTCATTTCCAACTTGAAATCTTACTGACTACTAATGATGGTAGTAAACTACTCTATGGTAATTTAGCTACAATTGCTATTGCTATTTTGTTTGATATCACGTTATTAATGATCTTACGTGTGTTTCTAATGGTAGGTAATAGTGTTTTACTGTTGTCTTGTTTAGCAGCTAATTATTAGTTGTGGGTTAATTTTATTTGAATGATATCTTACTTAAAACGTTTTTCATTTAATTTTTAAAATAATGAATGTAGGTACTCATTATGACCTATGAGTTTTGATTAAAGCTTAATTCAGTTTTTGTACATATTTGACCTACGGCATAGTGGAATATACCCGTGTATAGTATTTTCAAAATGAAAATTTTAAATCCGCAAACATTGTTGTGTTTTAAAGAAGAAAAAATTGTATTTGACTTAATGATATCAAGTGCTAAATAGTAGTAGTAGCTGAATTATAAATAAAACAATAATAGTAATAATATTTACAAATGATTCTAATGGTTCTATACACAAAACACATATTGTTTTAAAAAAATGGTTCAACACGTTTATTGCATATCGATAAGAAAAGTATTTTTTTTCGATAACGTAGTTTGTATAATTGAGCTATTAGGGGTTTTCCATACAACTTAACTTAATACAAATGTGATGTTAGTTTCTAGTCAATAATTTCGGCAAGTATTCCTACGTCATAAATATAGCGGTTGCAGCCGTTGTTAAGTACGATCGTCAGTAGAAAAATTAACTGTCGTAGTGTCGTGTAGAAACAAAGATCTATAATATGATTATTATATATTTTCTAGCTGATCTCTTGCACTTCGTTGCCCTTTAAAAATGCCAACTCTATAGGAGACTCGCTTGTGATAATGTGAGCAGTATATTAACAGGTAGTCCATCTACCTGCAGTGGATTTCGGACCCCGCTAGGTGTGCACTCTGTATGAATAATATGTTTAATTTTAATTTTATTAATCATTTTGATTGTGTACATATTACCGATGAGCGGCCATAACTCAGCCGACAGCCACTTTGGTAGGCAATGTACTAAAAGTTAATTTAGGTAAAATGGATATAATTTAAGTTAATTTTGGGGCCTGGGTCTAATTTTTTGATGGGGCCCCAAAATTAATTACTATCTAAATTCTCAACGAGCAACTTAAATTATAAATGCAGTTTTTTGCTGAATTCATTTTTTATACACAATCTATTTTTTAAGATTATGAATAAATCTATAAGTAATTATTTAATGCTGATTATTATAAATGAAACGTAGGTATATGACTGTATCACATGTTTTTTTCAAAAATTCAAAATTTAAATATATGTAAAGAAGTTTAGGTGCAGGTTTTAATTCAAACAAATGTTGACTGATGTACATTGTACACAATACCAAAATTGAAAATGGTAATGTTTTTTTTCAATATAGTCAATATAAATAATAAAAAAATTACATGATTTAGAATTTAAGACAATGGGTTTTTCGAGATTTTAGTTTACTAAACTTCTAAATTAGATCTGAAAAATCAAGTGTATTAGTTATTTCCTTTTCAGCAGATATTACAGGTGTTTTTAAAAGGTATAAACGTTGGTGATTAGGTGACCGAATGGGTTAAGCAAATGATAAAGCGCTTTTGGTCAATTTTATCGATTCTAATCTTAAATTCTATTACGAAATGTTTTGAATGTTTCTATTTCAAAAATTTGTTTTGTAAATACAGTAAATGTCTAACATAAGTAAAAATATCATATCATAATATAACATTTAACATTTCATAATGCCACTTTCATAATTAATTATCAACAGGAGTCCGGGGCTGCAACCTCCCTATCCCCCCTAAATTGGGCTTTAGTGAAAGGGCTCCGGGGCAGTAAATAAACTAGGATCTCTAAATAATAGGTACCTATTATTTTCATGACAATTCATAATATATAAGCGTTTTATTGGTTTTTCAAATGTGAATGTACTAACAATAGCTTATGGAACTATAAACGAAATTAATAAACAAATAATTAATAAATATACAAATTAAAAAAGAAAAAGGAAATCCAGTTTATTATTTTATGAATTTTTAAATTTGAATTATTAGATAAATATTTTTGTTTATTAATGCGCTTATTATTATAAATTATTAAACAAATTTAATTTAATTTAATATTTAACTCGACAATACTATACATATGCAATATATTATCAATAGACTATTTTACAATGTACGTGGCTAAAGTTATTTTTGTCAGCAATATACCGGTTTTAAAACAAATCACGCATCCTCTCA